AGGTGGCGGGGGAGCTAGATGCAGGTACAGAAGCAAATTGACGGTTAAGTACCTCAAAGTTGGGACAAGAACTGATGCGTGAGCCACAGAGTTTCCGCAAGGTAGTCCACATCTCACGACGGTTTTTATTGCCCGAAACAGTCTCGGCGTACATCCCGTTCAGGCGTCTTACTTCTGCTCTAATCAGAACAGAGAGCTCTTTGACACTGTTACGCCTGCCGGCTATATATGCTGTCTCTTTAGCACGACGAAGTCGTTTAGGCAGGGGAGATCAAAACCTATCGGTTCGGATATAAATAGTTTCAACCGGACAGTATTGGTCATAGCAGAAATTAAGATAATCGGTAAGGTGTTCACTAGAAGAAGACAGCTGGTTATGGAAGAACACTGAAAAGTGAGTGGAAGAAACTAAGTCCCGCAGTCGGGACAAGTTCTCAGAAGAACTATTTCTCTTCCGTAGCGTACGAGAAGTGGGTCGTGTATGAAGGCAGTGATTAGTTTTACAATATATTTTGGGGTAAAGAAGAATGGTACAGTGGTCAGAAGTACTAATTGGGGCTCGTTTAAAAAGGTGAAACACATTGGGACTATTTATATAAATGCTATCAAGAAAGGCATTGGTATGGGTAGGGAAATTGACAATGTTCTCTAGGCCTAGAGTGATTAAAAAGGAGGTATCAAAGCGATTAAATTCACCAGCGGTAATACATAAGGACTGGTCAATACAACTGGCGAATTGCGTCACTACAGCATCAGAAAATAGTCTTAAGTCGGGGGCGAGTGTATCGGGGCAATATAAATATTCACTAAGTAAATGAAGCGAAATCTGCTGAGAAAGGGGGGCTTGCAGCAAACAAAAGTACACTTAATTTTACTTGTTGAGTAGGAAAAAAATAAAAAGAATTTTCTTACACCAACTTCACTTTACGAAAATGACCACTCCGCCACCTCTGTTGCGAAATTTCACAATCCGATCACTCCTGAAAATATCAAAGCCATCTAATCCGATCACATCATCCTCAATATCTGGGTGTAACCAGCTTTCCTGAAGTAAAATGACTTCCACACTTTTGCATTGTTTCTGTTGCACCAGATTCTGGACGTCATTGATTTTCCCCACAAGTGAGCGAATGTTACTCGAACAAATACTGAATCCAGCCAGGCAGACAGATGTGAGTATATCTACTGCCCAAGTTAGCGACCTGATACCGGTAGATAAACGAGGTGCCCCAAAGTTTTCAGCGCAGTATGCCACACGATACATTGAATTTATCTTCCATTAAATGGTTTTGAACCGTATGTAGTTTGTTCGTGTATGGACCTAATTGGAGTCCTAACCTCTGTCATCTGTCACCAGACATTTGATTGTCTTTCCGGTTCCTTTCGTAGGGGATAGAGTTTTTGCAGATTTCCAATGCAATGTTTCTGTTTGATTGTCTTGGTACAATCAGGGTTATTCATCTGTAAAATCGTATGCGAGGTCGTGTGAATTTTTCACGAAGCTCTATTATGATGTAATACTGAAAGCGCGACCATAGTGACCATAGTGAAATCAATCAGTTATTGCGTTGATTTTTGCCGTCGAGTGATTCTATGCACAATTTCAGAATTGAATGACCTGTAGATGATTAAATATAAACAATAATTTATTATGCTATCAAGATGAGTCAAGATAAGTCATCACGTATAAAGTGCTTTCTTCAATTATGCTTATTAAATTAACTGTTTTGTTTTTTGTCAACTCCAAGGAAAAAAGGGGAAGCCAGGTTTTCTGGAATTTCTGTAAATAATATAACACAGGAACAAACTTTAGACAATTTAGATTGCTTACCACCTCCAATACTTTCCAGTTTACTAAGAAATGTCAAATTTGTCAACCATGGAGTGTCGGAACCGGCACTGATGTAGAGTATTCCCGTTACTTCTCGCAATGCGGACAGTCCCTCGACCAAATCTGACCAACGTACACCCTCATCGGCTCTAGTCAGATTGTGGAACGGATCGCTAGAATTGAAAAAGATGAAAGAATGTAGACTGTATGACGACCTATTCAATCAATTCAATTCCTTCATCAAGAACTGTAGAACTTCAATCCTATTTACCTAACTATCATTGTTAAAAACCAGGGCTTTTTAACATCGGTCGATTGTGAGATGCTTCTTCTTTCAAAATATGAAGGAATTTTCAATTACTGATTTCCGGAGCTCAACCTGAACACAAACACAACACATCTTTTAACTCAGAATAGTACTTTAGTAAAAGTAAATAGTATTTTCACACTATCTATTTTGTCGTTCCATGAGCGGAAACCAACAGATCTGTTATGACGATTGAATAAAAGTTTTCTTTTATATCAGTTCGACGTCTACATATTTCTCTATGCGATGCTCGTAGAAATAAAGGTTGCTCGACTTGCAAAGTGGTTGTGGGTATCGTAAAATGCAAGCCGTGACATTTTGAAGTATTTTCGTCATCCAAGATCAATCACAAGTAGGTGGAAAGACGGCCCGGGGAGCGGAAGACCACGCAGAAATGATCCAATGGCTCTCAGAAGCCTTTTAGAACCGAAATTCAATAGGTCCTGTCCCGTACCTGCGATCGGTGTCTTATTACGACATTCAACTTCAATTCGCACTGCCTTATCGATTTAGAAAACACCGGTTCTGATTATGTGTGCACATTCCTGTTCCTCTATTTTACCAGAAGTTGAGTTTAGATGTAGAAGCTCTCTCGGTGTGTGTGTATGTGAAGCGCTGAATTAAGACCGCAGAAGGCGGGTTAGAAAACATGTCAGAAACTTTCAGACATGTCTATAGGCAACAATGCAGCTCATTGAATATTCGGGGAATCGAGTTTGTATTTGTGGTGGACGTCATCAATGGTCAAGTTTACCTAGAAGTTCTAATATGACAAGTCTTGTCACTTCCTAGCCTAAGGGCTATTTTCAGGGAGCCACTGAGGCTGTACATCGTTCCCTTGTCATAATGGAATTTTATGCGCCTCATGGCACAAGGGTTCTCCTGTGGCCACCCGGATCACTTGATGGCAATTCAATCAAGCAAGAGGAAAGTGAACAAGAAGTACTAAAGACCCGTTTTGAGGGAAGAATGGAACTGTTCATTAGAAGATCCTACCGGACAACGGATAACGAGCCTGACTCGATGAGCAACAGTTGTCCGTTTAAAGAAGTTTAAAGAGTGAGAACGTTTCTGGTAAATAGTATTCCCTCAAATGTATAACAGCTGTACCTGAATAAAAAGCAATAAATGATTTAATGCTTGTAGTTCAGAATTAGTTTTGGAACCTGTAGAATTGAATTAAATTGGGTATTCGATAGGATCGCCAACATGTGTAAGCGATGCCTAACCAGAGAACCAACACCAATATCCGCAGCCCGAGCTACATTCACTCCTCATCATTTTCAACTTTTACGCTGTGTTGATTCAGATCTATTCATTCCAGTGACTGGCACCTTGAGTCTCATTCGCGATAATGAATATGGTATCACTTTACAACATGTTCAACAAACATGTAATTGCATTGACTTGTGTTGTTGCTTGTGTTTGGTTGAATGCCTCATAAAAGTAGGATTTCTTGATTCCCACAACGGTTTCTGGTGCACCATTTGTAGGATAACGAAACCTCAATGGAAAGAAAGACTATAAGGGTGTACTCATAAAATAAACTCAAAGGCACGAGACAGGCGTTGTGCTTTCAGTTTTTCAATATCCGGTGTTACCTTCTCTATAATAAGCAATTGAGCCAGTCATTTTGTGATGGGATTTACCAACTTGACAATGCAGGAGGAGACGATACGCAACAATGGAAACTGACATATTTTTAAATTGAGAGAGAGAGTTTGAGAAACACCTCCAGTTTTCCTATTTCACCAGTGGTTCATTACAACCAGTTTTACCAAAATGAACTGTACAGAACAATGTATGCTGTCATCAGTAGATCACAGCAGTTAGTCAGGGATTGTTACGAAAAATGTCCAGCGTTAGACAGGGTTTCGAGCCACAGAACTGAGAATCATTCAAAAAGTCGGTTTGGGTTGCTGAGTAGATTCAGATGAGCTCCTGTGCACAAAAATGCATACGCACAGTCTATACGTTTGTTCTATGCACCCTCGTGTGTATGCATGAGTTAATTAGAACTTACACAGGGGTAAGCTATGCCCAATTGACAGTTATCTGTCTTCGAAAGCAACGGTCACCATATTGAGCTACATTTTACTTATAGCAGAATCTAAAAGTTACATAGCATAGCTGCATGCGTTCAAGTGGCACTTTGTCAGGCCGGAGTAATTCATTCAATTCGAACACATGAGTCCACAGAATGCGACACAAAACTAGCCCTTTTAATGTGTCTTGCTCTATCCAATGAAACATCACACTTGAAGTTAACTGCATCGAGGCCGTTGAGATCAGAGTATGTGTTTTACCTAGCTAGTAATTGTGCCACTCATTGCCTCTAGACCGAACCGGTACACGTGGTATGAATTCAATGGGAACGGGCGGGAAATGAAATGTGATCTTACCCGACAAACGATTGTCTGGACAGTTTGATATCTCCTTGGAACGTTGTACAGTTGCGCATAGCTCTAAGTGAAGTGCGGCGCAGATAGTCAATGCCCTTGACAGTTTCGATGTCACTGAAGGAACAAGCTGANCAAGCTGAAAAAGTAAAGTTCGGTCGAAATAGAAATGTTAACGTATCACGTCTGTTTTTATATTCAACTAAGTGACTCGTTGGTGAGATATGAAGAAGATGATACATCCGAGAATCGGCAGAACTGATTGTAAATTTTCATATAACCAGTTATTCATAACTACCTATGCAGTATGTGTGATCAAGCCGAGAAATTATCGCTCACTCTGACTGGAAAATGTTCGCACAAAATTAGAAAATGCAGTGAACAGATAAAAAAAGATAACAATGATTACAAATTGCTCGTACAAACGGCAGATGTTACAATGAGAAAGAAAAAAAAACATAATTGTACGATTAACCACAATTCATGTTAAAATAGATGCATGCAAGGGTAGGACAAATTGCAAGTGGGGAACCAGTAGAGGGGCGAGGTGAATTGGTGACAGCTTTGAGCATTTCGTTGCACTAACCTGGGCCTGTCACGGACAAGAGAACTTTGGCGAGCGGGTAAAAATGGAAGTCTACAAAGTCATCATGAGGTAGATCTAGCTAGAGAACCATTTTTATTCACATTTCTCAATGCGATCACCGGAGAATATGCAACTCCTTGAGTGCAAAGACAAGCATTGAATGTATTGTTCCAGTTTAAACGATGAACACGAACTGGTTTATCTTTGAATTCGAACGATGATTCCCTATCGGAAACACTGGTATATAGAAAATTCAGTAATTGTTCATTTGCACTTTTATCGGTTGAAATTGGCATTAGTCCAACTCAACTCACACCATCCGGCTGAATCTCCCGTGCTTTGGGTGGAAAAAAAATCTACCATGATCTACTGTGATAGGCGACTATCAGTAATCGCAAAACCGGAATAACTTTAGATGATGAAGGGTATTTATTCAGAGTTTTCTGGTGACGTTCGTTGTATAAAGGCTACATTTATGTTATACGCAGTGAACCGGTGGCCTACTTCAAAGACACCTGTCCAATTTCGGTTTCGGAATAAATTTCTAGCAAGCTCACTACAAGAAAGGGATCATGTTCGCAATAGTTACCATCTTCCTAACTCGTTTTTTTCTCTTTAAAGTTATGATGGACGTGATGTGTCAAATGACCCGATACATGTAAGCATTCTCTGACATTGTTTTGCTCCAATTGAACCGTTTGTCTGAATCAGAGCTGTCAAACAATATCATGAGGATCAGTGAAAACCCAGATAATTTGCAAGTTTTATCAACAGTTGATATATCTTACAACACCTTCAAACAATTAAGTGCTAATACCCAATAGCGGTGGTTCCACTGTTGATCCCAGTCAGTAGAATAATTGTCTGTGATGAAGAGCTCGTTTTTATTACCCCTTTTTCGCGATGAACAGCAGACGCGGGGGGGGGGGGGGATTCCACAGTCGCCAAGATGGAAATCGACAACCTAAGCCCTTGGAGTTCTGGTGGTGAATCACATAAGGCCCACTAGACAGGGCGTGATACTGAACCGGATGACAGTAATTCTGGTTGCCACCAAAATAGGGTGGCAGTAGCGTTGTTCGAACCATAAGCACAACAACAGGCCCGATATCAGTGACTGCTTCACTAAAACAATGCAAACAAATCACAGATACCGAAAACCAAAAACCCGTTTTGTGTATGAAAAGTAGATAAGCTCACGTGACATGCAGCTGGCGATACTTTGCAGTTACCCAATCAGCTAAACTGAGCCATTTAAAGATGTGAGAATTCCGTGAGCATGAACTGAAAACTGCTGTCGAAAAAAGATTACAAAATGACTTCTGATATTTGTGGCGGTATATAATTCGTACAAGAAATGTAACAAACAACCGATTTCTCTCGATTCGGATGAAATTAAAGAAGGTCACAGATTATTCAAGAATTAACGATTGAGAAACCTCGGTTTCAGATATCCAGACAAGTACGAGTTGTATCTGTGCATCTGTTCACAAATTTTCTACTCAAATCTAATCGAGTGGTTTTCACAGATTTCACGTATTAACATCATTCTCTTCATTACTGGATAAGATTAGTAACCGAATGATACCACGGAAGTGTAAGAGACAATCAATTAGATGAGAGTGTGTTACCCGATGAATTACACTATCGCACACGCTTCGTGACAGATTTTACTGTTGAGGATTGAGAGTTGATATTCTTACCCAAAACCGATGTGAGCGTAGCAACAGTAGACTTTAGCTAAACTGACTACTGAGAAGCGCTGAAGTAGTCGGTCAACAAAATTTGAAAATAGTTTCAAATTTCGCTTTTAACTTCTTTTCAATTGAGCACAGTTGTCAACAATCGGGAGCGGTGGTTGTGGTTATAATGAAAACTTTGCCATCCGACTGAGTGGTCACGTAAGTCCGATCACTAATGAAACATTTCACACATGGCCACCGCAGTTCAAACCTGATGCTGGGCAGCTTTGTTTTCACAAAAAAATTGCAATCAAGTTATGTCCTCGGGGTCTCAAGTCAGTTATCACTTACAATTAGTGAGCATGACCCGTAACCGGACAACTAGATTCTTAAGACGAATGTTTGTTCTAGCAATTGTGTTCAGTAGCGAGCTTCTCCATGAAGAACCAGTTTTATCAGAATGAAATAATGATTGAGACCAAACTGATCATGGAAAGTAGTCATGAAGCCCGAAGCAACCAATGCAAACACACACACATCGAGGACGTATCATGTTCGATCGTGAGAGCCAGATCGATTTATAAATTTGTACAGAACATTCCGAATGCTTTTCTATGATGAGATATTTTGAAATATGCCTTTCGGGTTTAGGTAACCAAACGCGGTGATACCAGAAATCGGATTTCTGCGCAAATGAGATAAAAAAACAGCAAGTTTTTACTAAATAGAACAGTTTAGGGGGGATCACTCATGATTCTCCGTATACAAACCGTCAACTAAGCACTAAAATGATTGCAAATAAATCTTTTGCCGAAATAATCCTGCATTTATGGCATTTTTTTTCACTGGTCTGGGCCCATGTATCTGATGATCGCTAAGTTCGAATTGATTATTGTTCATGTCCAACTGAGTGATGTTTGCAATTTCCGATTTTATGGGTTTTCTGCACTCTGAAACTCTTTGATTAATTTATTAGGGGACAATGTGTGTTTGGGTTCCGAAATCGAATCTTAGAGACCANCTTAGACTTAATTAAATGTATACATATATGTCTGGACATACACATATTTATGCATCCCACTGTCCTTTGAAATTGATGTATGCTAAATTTTTCATTTTGCGAGTCTCATTCTTCACATATTCAAGTCAAGCTGAATAATTGTTTTGTATTTATATATGCTAATCAATAGAACATATTAGATAATTGTTTTTCACGATGACCGCGACTTGTTAGCAATGTGTCTGTGTCTCAGTCAGGACTCGAAATGCCACANTGGAAGCCAAACGAATGATTCCTGAGCATGACACACCTGTGCATTCAAACACGTTTTCGCATAGAGTGTATACTATTTCGTCTAATCCAATTTACGAAGCCACGCACTCCACCTGTTAGTCACTGAACCTGAACTGAGGGTTTCGAAGCTCCCTTCCGAAGATTCGCAGCTTAAGACGAGAGAGGACAGCACAAAGGGTTTATACACCACAGATAAATACCCCGCCCCCAGCAAAGGAACAAACCGCTGACCAACGCTCTCTGTCCGCTATCACATCAGTCCCACGTCACACTGTTCTGCAAACACCAGAGTTCAACTATGGTCCATCGGGGATTGAGAAGTCGATCCCCAACCAATTGGCACGGGTTTACACTGTCAGAAAATTGTTTTTTATGTCAAAAACACTTTGCCTTTGACAACGGAATCCACTGTCGACAAGATGATGTTAAACGAGAGCAAAACTTGATGGGAAAGTTCACTACTGCTACGTTTCTCTTACTTTTTGGGCATCGATCCTCCGAGCAGGAGATACATTGTCCGTTTTTGGGAAATGTTCCTGGACGACCACACTTAGATACACAACTGTCTCCATCGCGCAGATAATTACCTGAGTAAGAATAAAAGACAAACCGAAATGTTACCGGGGACCAGATGAAAGTAGATCTTCCTCAACTGTCGGAAAAGAAAACGGATTTGTGTGCATTTATTATCAAAATGAAATTCAATATAATAAACGCATATTCTTCGTGGTTTTGAAGTTCGGAATTAATCCCACTAGGTGTGAAGTAACAAGATGAAGCTATGACAGTCAGTTGGTGACTTGTGGGACTCAGAACCCCAAAATGGGTGGGGGGGGGTCTAAGTATCGCCAACCAGGTGAACGCATACTTCCTAGTGAAACAGTTTTGGGATCATGCCTACCTCGCAAACAGAGCACGACAAAGTGCTGAAAAACAAATAGCACAGATCAATATTTTTTCGCGTTTTGATACGCATCCAGAGTTATGAAAATACACGTGGCGCTCACGACTGCATGAATTTCTCGATTTCAAGAGTTTATGGAACAGTAGAGATTTTAGGTATCCTATTTTGGACTGAGATAAACTGATTTGAGATGAAGCAGTTTCCAATAGCAACCCAAAAACAAAAGTTCTATTACCAGTATTTTATCTTCTGGGAGTTTTCACGTTTTCACCCAATAGTTAGCCTGCATTCATCATGTAGTTCAAACATAATACTAACTGCCTGCCCCATAAGCTACAAATTCAGTGAAAAATCAGCAGAAAACAAGGAGAAACTCACTTGGACACTGCTTCACACAAGTCCAGCCAAACGCCAATCGTCCGTGTGGATTGGTCGACCAGGTGTACGTTGCTTTGTTGTAAACCTTTGTTGCCGGACAAACAGCTACGCAACTACCATTGAGATTATATCGCAAACAGGCCTGTATTTTTTGTTGTTGAATGGTCGGGTAAGGAAACAAACGGTTTTTATATTAGTGCAAAATTGCAGCAGAAATTTTCATTTGTTATAGTCTATCGTGGAGACAGATTTCCCGTACTGATTCCATCAACGTGAGGTAGACTGGCAAGCCGATAGGTCAGTCTGCTGATACGCGGAAATGTTTTCGTTGACGCTCGAAACTAACCTAATTATGAAAGATTAAGTTGTGCGTTGTCAGTTGTGCTTCTCTCTAGTAGCATTTTTACAAGTAAATAAGTTTTCTTCTCGGGTGTTATGCTTCAGTTTGGACAACCTGGCGGTATTGTGCTCTCGAGCAAATCAGGGCGCTTTTCTTTATAGTCGAGATTATTGTATCGTGATTTGTTTGGCGCACAGTCGACACAGAAGTGTGTGATGAAAGCTAATCTACTGAGCTAGTTTTCGAATAAATTTCGTTTTATCTGTCGAAAGAAGTAAATATCTATCCCGCCTAAAGAGTTGGAAGGGAAGTGATTATTAAGCGCATTGTGGTTGGCCTCCTGCATACGCCAGTATGGACATAGCAAAATTTCTTGCAATGATAAGGCAGGTTTCTGATAACTGTCACTCCCAACATCCATTCGAGGAAGTTATACTTTTCACACATGAAGGTTGGTATATCAGCTCGCTCAAGGTTGGTGGCAGAAAACGGTTAGACCTACATAAAGAGGGGTCATGTTCAATCTCGAGTTCGTTCTATTACCGCGTAGCAGCTGGGATTTAAATTTAATCGAAAACTTTTCCCTCTATCAGAAATAGGGACAAGTTAGCTACCTTGGCATTGGTCGCCAGTGTTAAGGGTGTGCGGTGTATTAGAGGAAACTTGCAAATTCTGTTTGGCAGTCAATTTGGTGGATTTCATGCTAAAGAGTCTGCCTCCAGTGCTCAAAAATGAAGAAGAGCAAATGAAACATGGACGAGATGAAAGTACAATACCTGTATAAAGTCTACGAGTCATTTTAATAAATAAATTACAATTAAGTTTTCTACTGTGAATTTGTTATCTTACAACTTATGCACCAGTAACCGTCGTCAAAATCGCGAAATTGTACATTTGAATGGCATTTGGCTAATTAGAAGCAGTGACATAAGTAGATATGTTGCGTCCATTCAATCCCGTAAATGAGGCCGAAAAAACGAAGCATTGAGAGGAACAAATGTGATCAAAATCAGGATGTTGCACGAGTTTGGTCAAGGCCTGTGTATGTAGAGTGTTGTCAGGATCCCGTAACCCAACACAGAAAATCAGAACACTCAAGAGAGCGTGCTGATCGGAATCGGGTTAAATATTTATTTAATGATCGTGAGAATATATCAATCGATTGAACGATGACCTAAAACCACAGCAAGCTGGTTCACGGACAAAATGATCAGGAAGGGTATTGGTCAGTGTCTGATATGAACAATTATATCACGTGATTGAATGATCAACGGGAACTGATGGACCAATGAGTATGTAGCTTCTTTATACCTCTTAGATAACCTGGTACGTTATTATCCCATAGCGATCAACCGGTTTAGGGATAAGTTGAGACTTGCGTAGAATACACTCTGTTGGTCAAGCATCTGTGGTTTGTGCAGGAGAACTTGGAAAACTAGTTTGATGGTAGATTCCGAGTGGATTATCGTCTATTTTGGAACTTTCAGTTGCGCTAAGTCAAACGTGGTTCTGCAAACAATTTGTCCATCATCGAGCTTCAGAGTAGTAGTAGTAGTGTTAGCAGAAGCTGAAACGCTTGTAGTTGGAAGCCACTTAGGTTCGTGATGGAGTCTTGCATAAACCGGATCTGATTCATTTTATAAAAGGTCTACAGTTCGAGCTGATTTTACATTTAACGTTTCCTGGTGTCTTTCTATTCTTGCTCTGAAGGAAGGGAACAGTAGTTGTAATTTTGTTCGGAGGGTACGACCGAACATCATTTCAGCTGGACATCGCCCGGTGGTTTCTGTACGAGTTGTTCGGTAAGCAAAACATATTCCATCCAGTTTGATCTGCAAGGTTCCAGGGATCTGCATGCGAATATCTTACTTGGCCGTCTAAACTGCTGGACCCGCCAAGCCATTCGGTGCAGCGTGGTAACGAGCAGACCGAATGTGCTGTAGTCCGTTGTTGCAGAGAAACTTTTGAAACTCATCGTTGGTAAACGGTGTTCCATTGTCTGTGCAAAGTACATCTGGTAACCATAGTCTCTTATTTTGTTTTATCATTTCAACACGTAACCAATTACAGATAACTGACAAATGTACCACAGCATATGAAAAAATGAAATCTGAAGAATGTGTTCATAGGTTTTGTGAGCATGTTACTTCCCGATTGCCCTGACCGAGGAAAGAAGATAACCTCGGGGTCTCCGTCGGAAACCAGACCTGTAAGACAACTGGACGGAGCTCAGAGTCCGTAGTCTATTGGTAGCTGGTGCTCACTTCATTGAACGGGGTCAAACGTCCGGGGTGCCCAAAACACCATGATTTCCAATCGAGCCAGTGACCATTGCCGTGACGAGGAAGGTTTGCGCGTGGTTTGTAAGCCTCTCCATGCCGTAGCATGACTAACTAGATGAAGTTCTGTAAGCGTTAACAGTGTGATGGGTCGGCGAGCAAGTGTATTATTACACTGAACTAATAGCTGTTCAACAAAAAGCTATTCAAATGATTCCAACGGGTATTCTTCACTGTCATTCAGGAAAGTTGCTATCGACGATACGTGGGTGAAGCTTTCATCTTCCATTCATTTATCGACTGAGCTGTAAACATTCTTTCGGAGTCGCAACACTAAACAGGACGGACAGATACGCACAACTAATGAGCTCCAATCAGAGGAAGACTTCAACCAAATCCTCGCCGAGTTTACAGCTGACTGGATAAGCTGAGGATTAAGCACCAGCGTGGGGTTTGAAGGATAGTGTTATATCTTCTTATCTCTTTTCTGCTTTCATTAGTGATCTTTCGATTCAACCCCCTGCTCACAGGCGAAGTATGCTGACAATATCAATTTGTGTCAGACAACTTCCTGTTCTTCCGAATTCGATTCATCCACCAAGATTAATCCAAATCATCTAATCTCACTTTAGACATATCCAAGTGTTTGGAGTGCATATTCTGTCTTTCCCGGTCTACATTTCCAAGGTATACCTCTGGCTGAAATGACTGGATTACTTGAGAATTTGTGTACATTCACCAAACTTCAGCGGTTATTTTCACGTCATGTGTTTTCTGAATCCTTGTATTTTCTTCGTTGTAACGATTAGTGTGCATCTTCAACTGAAATGTAAGCATAAAAGCTCACACGAATCGTACAACTAAAAAGCACCAAATTTATCCCACAACGCTATTTAAAAGTAACTGATGATTAAATATAAATTAAACTCTTTATCCTAGTCGGTTTTTATTTGTGTCAGTATACCCAAGAATGTAAGATAGTCCTGACGGTTCCATTTTCTGGCCACTTAAGTCGCGAACTGGACATGCAATAAAATGAGAAATACAGTGAGTGTGATGGCAGGCTTCGCGAACGCATGCGTTCTTCAGGGCTTATATCACATAATGACCGTCAGAGTGGTTTTACACACCTGTTAGATGCCTCGTGGCTTCTTTGAGAACAATGCGCTGAGTTGTTGTGGGTAAGATACTAGAGTTTGGAAAAGCATTACAAACGCGTTTCAACTAGTGATATTTTTCAAACTAAAGGAATCTTCTACTCAACCGTATTCGCATAAATCAACAATGGTGGTCTGAACTCATTGGATACATTTGCCATAGATGACAATCTTAGTGAAAATATTTAGCTCCCCTAAACTCCCAACCTATGATGCGATCTAGAGAGAAAGCTATACGAGACCTAGGCCTAGCATAGAGCAACACAGAAATAAGTTGTACATTATTCTATACAAAGCATGTTTACAACAAAACCAGAAAGAACCGCGAAAGGAGACACACACACAAAAACATTGACGGACAAAAAAACAGCATTGTTTACAACAAGATTATTAACAAAAACAACAATAATAACAACTAAAAGGAACTGGCTATCGTAACCATGGGAAACCAGGATGAATTAGCATGCGAATTCAGTCCATGACCCACCCACCCACCTCACACACACACACACACACACACACACACACT